GGGTTCGTGACTCGTGATCAGAGGGTCAGGGGTTCGAATCCAGCTGCTGGTCATATGTTGTGTCCTAGGGCAAGCCACTTCACCCCCACTTGCCTCTCTCCACCCAGGAGTCCAGGGGGGATTGAAATATTCTCAGTCATTTCATGCTACTGGAGATGAACGCCTGCTGATAAGCCACATTGGCTCGTGACAGACTTTACTGTTTTCTTTTTTAAATGTTTTTGAACAGTAGCACAGTATCTGTTTTTCTTGACCAATTTCTGACCCATAAAGGTCAACAGAGAAATCCTAATCCTAAATATGGCCGAAAGGAAGAAAAGGACACTACAGAACATTGTCGACTATATGCGTCTTGGCCGATCTCATGCTGCTTTCACACCATGTTACAAACAGCGGCCACTAAACAACCCCATAAATATTATGTTTGTTTGGGTGGATTATGAGATGTTGTATGGTCGGTTACACCTCTATGTTCCGACACCCCTATGTTCCGACTGCACATATTCCTATTCCTAACCCTAACCCTAACCCTAACCGGGAGTAACACAATCTAGGTTGTCGGAACATAGGGGTGTCGGAACATAGAGCAGTCACCGTATGGTCACTACATATTTACATTATACATACAACATTTACATACATTTGCACTGAGTTCGGCTCATTACTAGAGCAACGTCTGAAATCAAGTCACTCCTGAGTCGCTTTGACCGACTCTGACAGTCGATCTTCGCCATCTACCGGCAGCGCATCTAGTCGTTCAGTCTAATTGTTTCAGAAGTCAGACTTTTCATGTACTTCATTCAAATCTTGTCTTTAATTTGGTTCAGCGCAACTCTGGAACGCCTGTCTGAACTGGGTGTTTGATCTGAATAAGTTTTTTGTCAAGGATCCAATCCTGAGATTTTGGAGAGTGTGAACTCTGAATAGGTATGAGAATTGATGGAGACAAGGCAGGTGACCACCGCTGGACTGCTAGACGGCTACAGTTTGCAACTACTAGGAGTAGATGACACATCTTGGTTTTAATGTTTGAATTACTACAATGGAGTGCTGTGGCCTCGTGGTTAAGGGCACTGGATTCGTGGTCTGTGGGTTAAGTTGCGGGTTGTGGGTTCGAGTCCAGCCTGGGGCTGTGGTGTGCCCTTGAGCAAGGCACTTTGTCACTCATTGCTTCTCTCCACCCTGGAGTAAATGGGTACCTGTGAGGGCAGAGATGGTTATTGTGATTGAATAAGCTTGCTTGCGCCTATTAAACAGGCAGCATCCAGCTGTATACTCCCCAGGAAGCTGAGATGGTATTTGGAATGTTTAATTGGCCCGATGATCAGGGGTAATAATAATACTGTAAGCGCTGTGATTTACATGTAGTTTACTAATAAGAGCCTTCTTAAATGCCGATTATTATTATTATTATAATGCACATCAGTGCAATAGTCATATGGTTGAAATGGTTGAACATGGAGGTGAACTTTAGACCTCTAGAATATACGACAGCTATCATCTTTAATTTGTGAAGTGATAACCCTGGTATTAAATCATTTCATGGAAGAAAACTTATTCAATGGCTTGCATTTCTATCATTCTCTTGGAAAAATACACGTCAAGTCATACTACATGTATATATCTCTCTTTTTTGCACCTTTCCATTTCTGATGAAGTCATATGATTTACGGCAAATTTTACTACAAAAGTAAATCGATGCGAACATGCGGAACCTTATCTCCGCAGCTGTGTCAAACGCACAACGCGATTCGTCACTTAAGATCCAAACGGCACGTCTATATTCTCAGGGCTCCACTTGCCATGATTTACAATCCCTCAGTGGCAGGCAGAGTACATCTAGGCCAGTCCTAATTATCACAGCGCGACACATTTTAGTGTGGCGATCCTCAAACCGGTAATCAAATTTTTGGGCCTAAAATGTCAAGATAAGATCTGACTCTTGACTGCAGCATGTGCTCCTGGAGTAGGCCACTGTCTTGAACTGCCTCAGGGGAATTAAAGGAGGCTTACATCCAGAATGTTTCCTTTTGGAATCTTAACATTTCTCATGATATATTGGGAAGATTTTTTCAAAGTGATAATGTTCACACAACTAAGACCTTGAAAACTATCGCATGCATGAAACTGGGTCCTTAAAAAATGGAGCTGTTGGAGTGCTATAGCTGTCCTTCCAGTCATATGTTCTTTTCAAAAAGTCGCATCCAGAATGTGACCTTTTGGGATCTTAACATTTCTCATGATATATTGGGAAGATTGTTTTCAAAGTGATAATGTTCACACAACTAAGACCTTGAAAACTATCGCATGCATGAAATTTGGTCCTCAAAAATGGAGCTGTTGGAGTGCTATAGCTGTCCTTCCAGTCATATCTTCTTTTCAAAAAGGCGCTTCAAACTCATAAGTCTCATGTTGACAGTTCGGCTCATATTCAATGGCTTTATCGGCTATCTAGGCTAGGCAAAAAATCCCCACCATGTTTCAGTATGTAATTAAATAAATTGTGTATTTCGACATTTTCTCCACGAATGTAAGACACAAACGTGGATTTTCTGTGACCCAGATTTTTAAAATATTGCTTGTATTTTGTAAACAAAACAAATCACTGAATTCTGGTGATCTCTGGATTAAAGTGCCCCTTTAAGCAAGAGAGAAGGACGGCCAACAAATTAGCCGCTTTACGGTCGGGTTTCGCACTCTAAGTGACTGCTACTCATTTGTCCGTTTTTATCTCATACAATCAGTCTGTACATTATGTGCTATTTGGTCCTTCATAGGAATACATGTGCCGATACACTTTCACATTAGCAAACCTCTCCTTTGGATATCCAATACGTTCAATGCTCCTAATTCAATAAACCACATGAATGCTACTCAAATGACACATCCGTCTTCTGTAATGGATCCCATGGTGATGTTAAAGGTATAGTCTATCATTTGTAATTTGTGCATTTTGTTCGTTTGAAGCGACACACCTACTCAGAATCTGAAGAAGGGTGCTAAACAACTAACCTGATGAAGTTTCTGCTCAGCTTCAGCTGTATATTTCGAGAAAAACAGCATTCTAGGATCTCGATTTCAAATCAAAAGTTGCTTAATCATGTTTTGAATTGGGCCTGAATTCAGCGTCCGAGACACGTTTGCACTGAGCCGAATGCAGCTACGCGTGCATGGCGCGCGTGCGTGTGCGTTGTGCTTGCGCGTGTTTCGCTGAATAAAAAAAAACGAACTACTAACGGAATTTCCAACGGTGCGTCTTAAGAAGCACCGTTGGAAAGGCCTTCTTTCGTTGATTTCTTCAAAATGACAGCATGCCAGAAAGAATAATTTCACAGGGAGTTTAGTCCCCTTACTATCTTTCAGCTAAGTATGTTTTTCAACGATAATCACGCCAGTTACTTTTTGGATAGCTGCAAATGATGGACTACAGCTTTAAAGTACAGCATTCAATCTTATGGGAGTGTTAAAGATGCATCAAACTGAACTTATTCCTTTTTAAATACTATATTCTGTCTTGATCTTTTTGAGGTTCACTTTACATTTCTTTGTCATCAATCATTGCTTTCCAATTATGGGTAAAAACAAACTGAAGACACACAATTTTGCATGATTGATCAAACAGATATTGAACAAATGTTTTCATGCAGAGGAAATCAAGGTTTAGGGGAAGCTTATCAAGCTTGAGAAAAGACATTTGATTTCATCAATATGTGATACTAAGATTGAAAATTAAAATCTATTATAACAAACATATGATGAAATTTTGTCATTGCTTTGTCTGAAATCTTGATTTTATCCACTTCATACTTTGATCACTTAAAAGTTGACTTTTTTTTAATTAATTGTCAAAATAAAAACTCCTGACACTAAATGTACAACTTTGGAATGAAAATGTTCTTATGATACCCAAACATGTTCTGTTTTACCACAATTCAATTTTACAGACACAAAAAATATAAATTTTGTGTGTGGATCGGATTATTATCCTTTCTGGCATGTGTGCACTGGTGTGATGTGGTGTAACATTGAAGTTTTATTCACAGGATGAGTTGATGCATGTCAGTCATTCTACAAATTTAGGGTCCAAAATGTAACATTTTTTCTGCCACTGTTACCTCTGAACTTTTTATAATTTCCCATTCAAGTGTCATTAAGAATGACTTCAAATTTTTGTTTTAATTGTGGGGTAGATAATTTGCTGTTCATAGTTACTCTTTGGAGGACATGAGTGCATCCAAAATTATAACATAAAAGATGTCAGTGTAGTACAGGGACGGGAAAAGAAGTAGACCCCACATTTATACAATGACCCATGCAGTTTTCCAGATCATATTACAACTTTATTAAAAATGTATTAACCTGTCTAAAGATGTCGCTGACTCACATCAAGTTGATACACGTCAGTTCCCAGCTGGAGATCAATTAGTCAGCTGATGGGTTGCCCAACACTCTATCCATAACTAAAAGTAGTGGTCATTCAATCAAACACAGGCCATACACGGAATGGATGTAATTGGATGCTTCTTGTTTGCTGTAACCTTGCAGAAACAATGACAATTTTAATAAAGAACAAGATGAGCATCAAGCTGCCAAAATTCAACCTCCCTTTAAAATTCTAATCTTAGGCCAAAAAAAAAAAATATTCGGTCTCTGGTCAGACCAAAGTTCCGGAATTGACGCGGCCACGCGGCTTCTTTTTTTTTTTTTTCCTTCAAGTTTGGATTGTACAGACAAGGTGTGTACTATTTTGCTTTTTTGGTGTCCTCATATACATTGGTGTCCTCCATAATTTGCCTTGGTGCTTTCGATCATTTGCCTTGGTGCAATTTCCCATTCCTTGGTGCTCTTTGGTAAAAAAAATTGAGGAGGTGCGGAAATAGAGGGTTGGAGCTGTTGGAGCTACCACGGAACATTTTGGAAAAAAAAAAGATCGACGCGCATGATTAAAATCGACGCGCGCGCTGACCAGAGACCGACTTATTTTTTTTTTTGGCCTTATTTCCAATATTTGTTCAAGCTTTCTACTTAACAAAATTGATCAAGCTTTTCACTTTTAATAAAAACCAATCATCCATTCCAATTTTTCATGCACTGCTGTGTCCTGGCCTAATTATTTCTCTGAATGTTAGTTAATTAACTTTTAGCCAGTGACAGGTTGTCAGTTGGATTTACACAAGGAGCTAAGCGCAAACGAAATCAAGACAATTAGCAATCCCAGCGCAAGGTCTACACCCAGAAGGGACCACATAACATTGATTGCATTTAGCTATATTAGCATCCGCGCTATAACACCAGATCTAGCGACGTGCCTTACGGAGATCTACATGCGTACAGGTGGTGTTGATGCGGAAATGCACTCCGGTGCACCGCTGATGGAAATCCAATTTACAAATCCACCTCACGAAGAGAAATTTGCAGAGATTGTTCTGTCTTGAATCAGTACTTCCTTGCAATCCAATGAAGCGTTTAGGTTTCTCGACTCAACTCACACATCATTAGAATTAAGGGAGGAGTAGTGTTGATTTCAGCTTGATGACAGCACTACAGGCACCTCATCATCACTTGGTGGTTCTAAAGGATTTTGAAAAAAAAGTGTGGCTGGGGTGTTGATGTCCAAGATTTTTTATAGGATTGGGAGGGTGGATGAGGCATGATGGAACAACGGATCGAGATTTGCAAACTTGAGTGACGACTTTATTCTGGGAACTTAAGGAACTTTTGGCTTTTTTCCCCCATTATGCGAAAATTAACATGAGTAAGCTGTGTGTGTATGTGTGGGTAGGCATTACATTCACTGGGTGGACTTCCGAACAAAAGAGGTCCACATAAACCAGGTAGAGGCGACGTTGTGTGGACGTGGGCAAGTCCACACAGTGTTTCCCCATTTCTGGAAAACAGGTTTAGAGGCATTTTTGGGTTAGGTTTATCTGTGGCAAAATGAAGAGAAACACTATAGGAAATCATAGAAAAAAAATTGGGTTGAAAGTGTTTTCACATTGAGAGTATAATGAATTTTTTCAGAGCGTTTTCTTAACTACACGAAACCAAGGGAATGTCCACACTTGGTATGTAACGTAAACATCAGTGAACGTATAAACACTGCCTTATGGGGTACCAGAACAATGGGAGGTACCCAACAAGGAATGCCCACCGACTTGCGGGGTACCGTTTTGGTACCACACAAGTTTTTCATGAAATAGATATATGGATTTTACTCAAAAACTAGGAATTTCCAAGGCGGGTTGATCCGTCGCAAATGGAAGAGTTTTAGAAAAGGGATATTAAGTGCGAATTTCAGCCCAGGAAATAAATTCTGGTTAAAATAAGAGCATTTTGAATTTAGTGTGCGACATTGCAAAATTTTAGTACACGAGAACAAAGGAAGTACCCAACTTCTATGCCTGTGTAAGGGTGAGTATGTAAACACCGGCAATCGTGGACGTAGGACAAAAGAATTGGGGCACAAACAATACGTCCACGATTGACGGAACGTCCACGATCTCAAATCGTGTACAAAACCAATGAGAGCTGTCGCTAAAATGAGTACAAACAAAGGAAAGAGGATTAGGGACAATGGGGGCGTCCACGATTGCCGGCATTTACACACGTGGGTGGGTGTGTGTGTGTGTGTGTAGGGGGGGGGGGGGGAGTGGGTGGGTAGCCACCCCAACCACACCCTTTGGATCTGCCTTTGATCAATGATTGAAACTGGGTTGACAGGTCACAAATGTGGGGTGTCACACTATCACAGTCAAGAACATAAATTAGTGGTGGTGGGATTTAAATCCAGATTCTTTTTAACATTCGGTTTGAATTCCACTATTCGGTTACAATTTTGGAAACTGGATATTCGAAACCAAGCTTTAAAAAAATTAAGCCTTCCAATTTTGTGACACATGCTAAAGAAATCAACCGGAACTTCTCCCAATCTACTCCATGGTGTCTTATTGAAACTGTACTCGCTTGCTAGTAGTAGTCTTCTTGGTGTATTAATAGCCTGCCCATTCGACCTATCATATAGAGTTACCATGCATTTTGTTTTCAACATTACAGCTCTGACATGTTTTTTTGAAAGGTCCAGCGGCCATTCCATCCTGCAAACTATACCCAGTCATTGGGAGGGCATTTCATGTGGCATCTCACTCGTCCCCTTTTTGTTGGCATGACTGGAAGCTGGATGGGAACTTCTGGTGAAATCAGATAACTGTAATTCGGTTTGAAAAAATTTGGATAACTGATTTGTGAAATCTCTGATTTCTTCCACCACCAATATAAATGACATTTTGAACCACTCACAGGCAAAGATTTAATTAAATTAACAATGAATGATGCAATGACTTAGAACACAGCTTCGTGATTCTCATAAAACTTGCTGCTTTTTTACAACAATGGGTATGAGTTAAACGTGTCAAGAAGCATTCAACCTGTGATTTGTATGTGATGAATAAAAGCCTGCCTAAGGCAGCCACTTTCACATAAAAAGTGGAAAAAGCTTTATGCCTGGCCGCTTCTGCTCTTCACTTGGGGATACATGTAGCTAAAGTGCGTCTGTAGTCTAAAAATAATCTCAGACTACTTCTGAAGATTTAAACCCGATTTCGCCATTATTATAAAATTGGAAATAATACTATAGGCCATATCCCGTTATTGCAAACTCCAGCTGAAAAAATGTACTGTCCGTGCTATTTTCGAGTTTCATCTCGAAAATTAGATTTTGTTGGTATGTTGATACTTTTCTGTCTAGCACTACAAACGTTATTCACTTTTTCATGAGAAATCAACTGAACAAATTCAGCCCTTGTTGTTATGGAATATTTTTTTCTACAAAGCAGGAATTGTTGGGGGTCCAACAAAAATTCAATTCTAGCTGGATGTGGTTTTGAAGATGCCAAGATAGTGAAAGAGCAGAAGTTAATGGTTTCAAATATATAAACACTCATGAATAGGTCAAAATTTGTTAGGATAAAAAAAACCGAAATTTGTTGATGAGCTCAAAAAAGAAGAAGTAAATCATGCAGAAAAAAGAAGAAGCACATGCCTGTTAACATCCTCCCCCCCCCCCGAAAGCTTTAACAGTGATGCCTGTTTTTCAAACTGCCTTCCTAGTACTCTGTACCCCAGAAAGTGGTCAACAACACAAGTGTCATCCGTATGGATATGACCCGTGCCCCAACAGGCTGATTGATTCCGATCAATACGGTGTTAAATGCGGGGTCAGTGGTTCCAACTCGGCTCAGGAGAAAGACGAGGAGGGAAAATCAATGAGGTAGACTTAGCATCTGGAATGATGCTTGGGATTCAGGGAGTGAGGAGTTGATGCAGTGCCATTATATGTTGATGTTATCACTGAAAATCAAGGAGGAGTTCCAAGATACAATCTTGAAGGAATTACAAAAGCACAGAGAGAAATATGGTGAAGTTGAAATATGTTGAGCTGAGTTTGACAATCCGGGGATCCGGGATGATTCAAGATGGTCCAAGAAGACATAATGGCCTGCTGTGCAGGGGTAATAATATAAGAATCTGAGAAGTAATACTGTCCATTTGGAATGAGATGAGCACATTTATTCTCTCTAAAGATCTGTGATGATATAAGACGGTCCTAGAACGCAAAATGGCTTGATGAGTAGGGGTAATCGTAGCCTTTCGCCAAGGCCATCGTGCCTTAGAGCGGTGGAGCTGCGAAAGCCCAAAGTGACTGTAGCAAAGCTAAAGTCAGCACGCACGAGAGGCGACGCCACGAGGCCTTTTTCAACTTGATTTTGTTGATTTATTCATAGTTTTTATGCAAATAAGAAGAGTGCTGAAAGGTTAACCAATCACAACGCGGATTTTGCCTAGTCGCTTCCATTTGTAAAAGAAGGGTGAGTAAGGAAAACGTAAGAGCAAATAACTGAAAGTTCAGATGAAAAATAAGTTCACACACTCAAATAATTTCTTTAAATACTTTTATAAGTAAAATTAAAATAAGATAATGTAAGAACAATTACGCGGTCACGATCTCGTGGAAAACTAGACTCGCATTTTCTGTTTTCAAATTTTGTGCAAGCATCTGGGCGCATCGACACGTCCGGGTAGTAGCCACGCACGCACTAAAAGGCTGATGATCGGTTGGAATTTTTGGGGTAGCAAAAATCGAGATTATAAAGAAAGACATAAGAAATTTCTTGACAAGTTAGAAAAGGCCCTCGTGGCTTCGCCACTCGCATGTGTGGTCTCCCGCTCCAGTCGCTTCGCCTCTTTCACCGCTTTGTCTAATGCCGGCAAGTTAAGCCACGATGGCCTGGGTGAAAGGCTAGGGTAATCGGTGAAGCATCGCCTTTGATATCCATCATGTTGGATATATGTGCAATTCGTTCTTCCGTGTTTGTAAATTAGCGAATTTCCATCACTTAAACAAGTGTAAGAAGCTCTTCATTTTGAAGAAGACCTTTAATCTAGAATGCTCCCCTATGGGGTTTAAAACATGTTTACCACAAAATAGTTGGAAATATCAGTAAAAAGTCAAATATAAATGTGCACTCTATAGTCATACAGGTCTTTAAAATAATTTGCAGGTTTTAAGTGTAATTAGCACACAGACGAATTTCACGGTAAAACTTTGGTCCTAAAAAATCAAGCCATTGGGATGCTAGAAAAGTTCAAATAATATAACGACTTTATTTGTTGCTGGAAATGCATTGGTAAGGCAATAAAGGTAGTCTATGTAATAGACCCATGGTGAATGCCATGGGTCTATGATATGTGAGCAGATTCGCTGATTAATTAGGCAAGACCCCACCTCTTGACCTCCCAGATTTTGACCAATCAGCGGGCGCTTTCTATATCGGGTCTTCGGTCATTCACCCGTTGCGCGATATAGACAATGGATTAAAAAAGCCCTGTGTCACACGCTCTGTATATCATGTTACGCAAAAACGCGCCCGGCTGTTGTTGCATTACAAAACACTGCATTCGAATTGACCAACCAAACGTTTAGTCCTGATTTGGGAATGAAATGACGTCACGATTTAATAAAGTCGACTCCGATTGGCTGAGGCTCGAGATCGCATAAATCTGCATGCTTCAGATGTTAGACAGGAGTCTTGGCTCCGTGGATAACGGGTGATACTCAGACTACAATAAAGACTGCCATCTCAGATAAATACAGGATTTTCTATATGTTCAAAGGTAAAACAGTGTGTGGATTTCTTTTCACCGAGACCTTTGAAATATGGTTAGGAAAAAAACAACAACAACAACAACGACAACAACAAATTGGACACCTTTCAAAGATGAAAAATATTATCCAAACTATTCACTTGATCATGACAACAACTTGACGTCAGCGCAATCAGGTCAGATGACATTGTAACCATCATTTCCAGTATATTATACATCACTCTCCGCAGCCAATCAATACATATTTCCGTGCCACCAAATACGACACCCACCCCACCAGGTGCGTGATTATACAGACCCATTGTCCAGCCTTTTCAATCGCAGCGTCGTCAGCCCCGGGATTTTGAAAGTCGATCAGTATGCAATCTGTTATCAGCATGCAAACAGAAGAATACGGCCAGTAGAGCAAT